CTCTCTCTCTCTCTCTCTCTCTCTCTCTCTCTCTCTCTCTCTCTCTCTCTCTCTCTGTCTCCACTGATATTTTTTTGACTGATATTTTCTGATGAAACGTTTTGCGTCTTGCGTAAATCGTCCGCCGAGAAACGAATCTCAATGCGCGAGAATCTATCCGTCTATCCAGTAAAAATAGTCTACGCACGCGAACACAAATGATCAGCGATCGCGTCACTTAATATCGTAAGATATTACGTTAGAATAGAATAGGAAATTCCGGAACGGAGCTGCATCGCTTAATCACAATCTCTCACACTCGCATCCTTCCTCGGAATTTTCATTATATCGTTCACCTTAAGCTTAAGTACGAGAGAAGTGTTTGAGAGTATCGTTACGCGTTATTCGCGCATAATGGTTCCATCGCGAACGATTGGGAAGGAAGGGTGGGAGGGAAAATGAGGATTAGATAAAACAAACGGCTCTCTCGCGTTATTTAGGCCGCGTCACGCGACAACGACGACGCGACTATCACAATATAATCTTTCTTGACACGACGCCCTCAGATCTTGTCCGCTTTTTCGCAATCCAGAGGGCCTATAGAGTTCATCGCGTTGATGTTCTTGTTGCTCTCCGTGTCCGTCTCGCTTCTCGTCAAACTTGAGATTGATTCGGCGATGTGCGACTCGGGATGCATCGGAAGAATACCGGCGTTTGCGTCCTCAATTGCTTTCCTCAGCTGCAAAATAAAATCCATGTAAAATTTTGTAAATTTTGTAATTTTCTAATTTTTACCCCTCATTTTCTCTCAACCGAGAAAATGTCTCGAATTCGTCAATTTTTCGATGTCTTAGCTGGAGAAATCTTACCTCTTTCAACGCAACGACTCCGACCAGCCTGCCAATGGCTGTTACGTAAGCGTGATTCACGCCGACCATGCTGAAAAGACTGTGAACTTTCAACAAGGACGTTCTTTCGACAAGCTGGAATGGAGCCGGATCGATGTGACACCTCGAGAAATCAACCTCGAGTGCCATCTCGCTCTCTTCCCATCGCTTCTGATCCTCGGCTGACATGTCTATTACCCTTTCGCGAGGCTAAATTAACACGAGCAAATGTCATTCATATATTGTATCTCATGGAGTCAATAATGTTTGCTTACCAATTGTACTTTTTTCGATGTTGCCGGACTTGGGGCCAGCATGGGCGTATGAGATTGCGCGTTAATAACTTCTTGACTCTCTTGTCTGGTACCTAACTCCGGATCAGGCTCTACATCTTGTAACGTAGCGGATTTACGAAAGATCGCTTCGAAGGCCAGACGGATCCTACAATAATTATAATAATAATTATTCTTTTTAATAATTATTGTGTGTTTTATTTATTAATAATTTCGCAGATGTTCTAATTTCTAATATCTACGACATTTCAGGATAAATTTAGCAATATCATTACGTAATTTCAGGTAAATTAATATTATTTTTAACTAAATTAAATTAAAGTTATGTGTATTAATGGCTTATAAAATTAACTTACTTACGTTAAAAGTAATATGAAAGTAAGAAATTAACTCAAATATAAATTGTGTTAATTAAATTAATCTAAATTAAATTTAAAATTAATTTTAAAATAGTATTATTTATATTAAATTAGAAGTTAATTTAAATTTAAATTAATTAATTTTTTAAAATACTTTTAATATAAATATTTTTAAATATTTTTTTAGTATTTTAAATAACAAAGCAATTACAATATGAATTATCAAATAAATTCAATATTTTATTTGTAAATTAAATTTATATAATATATAAATAACAGAGAATGTTTTTATATATTGTAATGTATTTATGATATATATGAAATTAATAAAGATTGATTTTGATTTAGATTTTGATTGATTTTGATTTTTCTTAAGAAATGCATTTTTCCTTTTACAATTTTTTCTTTTACATAGGTAAATTTTTAACTTGGGAAAAAAGTTAATAAGTTAAAGTTTACGTTTTAAAAATAACTAGTTGAAGTTATAGATTAATTATTTATTTAAAATTAATCAAATTCAGTCAACTTTTTAATTTTATTAGTTAATTTTTAACTTTTTAAGTTACTATTCAAATACTAGTTACTACTCAATCTTGCGATATTTCGAGCCTACATAAAAATAAAAGCAAAAGGGATGGGAGATATATATTTTCTAATAAAACATTTTAAGATAAATTATAGATTAATATTGAAGAACATAATATAGAATATAATATAGAATATAATATTTTTTTTTCATTATGTAAGAAACTGCTAATATTGTAAGCAACAAAGGAACTCGCCTGCTTTCCGCGCCTGTGACTGTCGTATAGGGTGTCACTGCCGGACTAACTAACGGGCTGAATCCTTTTAGAGTGAAAGAATTGGTCTTCTTTAAGATCGACTTCTTCGGTTGCGAGCCAAACACCGGCGAATGATATGTATGCTAAAACCCACGAAGGACATTAATCTACGTGAGGAACAACAGAGAGGAATAACCACGAGTGACGTCAAAGTCAACCACACGAACGCGTGGCTTACATGATCGGGACCGCCGCCGTTGTTTGGCGACATCGTTAGATCGTTAACGCTCTGTCGCTGCATCTTGAGAATGTCAGGTGCCGGGATGACCTCGAATCTCGAAGGCCTCCTTGTCCTCTCCTGTTCCCGCAGTTGTCGTTCTATTTCCTCGCGCGCTCTCTCTTCCGCCTCCTTATGCCATTTTTGCGCAACCTGAAACGTTTATGGTAACGCTCAGCAATGAAGAATAACGCTCGCGAATGAAATTCCAAAACATTCGTAACCTCCTCATTACCTGTAACCTCCTCTCGCGGCCAATATGCTTTTCGATGAGTTTAATCAACGCTAATCTCTGGATCGACCCAAGCAGAATCATAGAATCTGGATTATCCACCAGCGGAAACCCGCGAAGTTTACGATTCTCCTTCAGTATCTCCTTCAACTTTTGATAGCTGATGCCGTGCCATATATACTTTACATCGCGAACCATGAAATCCTCCACGTAAACATTGTACATTCCTACAATAATAGGTTTTTTAACACCACTACTTTTTTCGATCGTAAAAATCTGAAGAGAACGCAAAATTACGAGTGCAAAATTACCTTCTCAGTTATTCCGCTCAGTTAAAATGCTTTGTGAAGTAATAGCAATGCATAATATTAGTTTAGTTAATTGAAAAAGTTGAAAATGAAAGAAGATAAGGGCCGAATGAATAGAGAGAAGAATTACCTGAACTGGATGGAAGCAGATCAGGCAAGTAGGGCAATTTCTTGATGAGGATGATACTGTCGTATATACTGGGCTGCAGAAGCGCGGCGATGGCGTTGCTGATGAGCACCGCTATCATTATGGGTACAATGTGTGTGATCTGACCAGTCATCTCAAAGATGATGACACTGACGGATATCGTATGCGTCACCGCGCCGGAGAACGCAGCGGCTCCCACTGTGGCATAACCACCTAAATAATATATTTTCATGAAATAAATTTAATTTTTCCCTCAACAAATTTTGCATCTTCTTTGAATCCAATTAAATTTACATGATGTTATTACACCGATTCAATACTTCTTTTATATTCGATATCGTACTTATGTATCAGAAACATAGTTTTTATTAATTATTCGTAATAAGTACTTTTTAAATATTGTAATGCGAAATAATATAAATCTATAATGGATACATTCAATTAAATAGACGAAGATACCTGGTATAATAGGCGTAATTATTCCACCATAACGCACACCAGTGGGAAACCAGAGAGCCATAGCTTCACCAACTGCTCTACCCAGCGCAGCACCGATCTTGAAAACAGGAATGAAAATTCCAGATGGTACCGGTACCGTCGAACTTATGATGGAGAAGATGAACTGAAATTCATTTTAGATTAAAGTGAAGGTTCTTCTTTGATTTCTTTTGTTTTTACATCTTGTATGATTTAAGGATAATCGCAAAATTGAGCATTTATTTAAAAAAAAGTCATTTTCTTACGGTGACTAAGACGAAACTAAGGAGTCCGCTGAAGACATCGGTGTATGATGTCGACCAGTGCTTCACGATACTCATCTCCTCGACAGTGAGATTCTTCTTCGTCCAAGTAAAGTTGGTAAAAAGCCCAGAAACCTGATCGTGGGTGTTCAAATCGCCGGCCATGAATTGACCGAGTCCGAGCGGAAATGACACGGACGAGACCAGCAGAGACACGATGCCGGGATACAAAAAACGACTAAAATTAAGATTAATCGTCTGTTAATCAAAGCCCCATGAAAAAAATTAGCGTCATGGCGATTATCAGAAAGCAATATGCAATTTTGAGTAACTTACTTCTTCTGTAGAAAGCTGTTCATGCTCTTGTTCTTTCGCATAAAAATGACGTATTGTCTATGCAACCAAACATAGAAGGCGCCGAGCAGTCCGCTGCCGACGCCGATTAGAGCGAAGACAAGGAGCTCCTGTGGATCGAAGGGAAACTCCATGGTAAAGCTAGTGGCGAACATCGCCGTGATGGTCTCCTCGCTCTGAAACCAGATCGCCAGCAAACGAAACATCGTGGCGCCACAAACCGCTGCGAAAAAGCCCCGCCAGTAGTTCCTGACCGCGAAGTATACCGTGGTGACCTCGATACTGAAGAGAACGCCGCCGATCGGAGCTGCGAAACAGGAGGCGACGCCCACGGCGCAGGCTGCGGCCAGCATTTCACAGTTCCTGCTCTCGTTTTCGTAAATGCCCTGGAAGCTAGTGACCAATTTGGAGAGGAGCGTTGCGACGATGCTAGCAATGTGCACGAACGGGCCTTCCTTGCCGAGCGGCAACCCCGAGCCCAAGGTCGCCGTTAAGCCGATCACCTTTGGCATATCACGATCTTTATTATTCCCGTCTCCGTTTCACAGGATTCCGACGCGCTCTTTTTTAAGAACTTTAAAAAAGTTGTAATCCAACTTAAACTTGTGCGCGCTCAATCTTAAGACTGATTATCTCGAATACGAATGGATCTCTTTTAACGAATGGATCAAGTTGTTGCAAGCTAACCTTGGCGATCAAGGTACGTAAGGTCAGATATTCCTTTAACGCCACGCCGCGTAGAATAGTCTTCATTTCCGGAATGCCAGAACCTATGCTCTGCGGTGCGACGATGTGGACGAAGCCGGCGCTGAACAGAATGAGACACACGGGCATGGACACCCATGCCAGATATTGCAAGGCCGGATGCTTCGTAAGGTCCTGATAAAGCCATATCCTGGCTGGTGAAACGAGATCGTTGTTAATGCGTAATCATATCAGTATATCGATATTAAAGATTTGGCGTTCAAGACGATCTTTCAATTACTTTTACAAAAATCCTACCCTTTTAATTGAGCTTATCGGTATTAAAGTTTACAATTTTTACAATTTACAGCTTTGCTATTTTGTGAAATTCATAACACTCGTTTTTATTTTATAAATACATATAAATTAAGAAGAATAAAAAAGTTTGAATTCATGGAAACTCGGTAATACAGGCATAAAAATGTAGTGAATGTAAAATCCTTGCTGCTACAGCTTAATTTATCACGATATAAATCAGCTTTGCGAAGATTATGGATGATTCAATTGACATAAATGAGCCTATTATATTTAGGAAATATTTCACTACAGAATGAATTGCGATAAAAAAAGTCATTAAAAATTAACAAAATAGCGACAAAAATATGAAAAAATAAACTGCTTTTTATAGCAATAAAATGTAAATAAATAACAGTATGTAGATTATAATCAATTTCATAGAAAATTTAATACTTTTTAATTTAAAACAAAAATATTTCGATACTTTATTCGAGTTAACTCTGCAAAAGTATTGAAAAACATAGTTTTAAGGGAATCGCGTTTCAAGTTTTAATATAATTTTTCAGAATGAAATATTTAACTCATACATTAATTAAAAATATCCCTCCGAATGAATTTTCATCTTGAAGTGATGGAATGACTTATAGTTGTATTAAGGGACTCCACTCAAGTGGATAATTAAGTGCAATCAATGAAGAAAAATCTTCCGAGTCAAGATGTAAGCTGCAAAGAGCAAAGAGTACGAGTCCGACCATGAGCTACGAGTCGTAGTTCTACTCGAGTAATATAATGCGACTGCTTCAGATCAGAATTAAAACTGATAAAAGTCTAGATAACATCCTTCAGGACGCAACTTCCTTAGGAAACGACAAGAGATTGATACTGATAAAATGAGTCCAACTTGAGTTCATTACAGCAGCACAGTCGATATGAAAAGTAACTTTATAGAAGAAAGTTGACTGAAAAAGCCCGAATAGTCCTTATTTTTGTAGTTGAGTTCGCTATTCGAAGACAAAGATGTGTGTGTGTGTGTGTGTGTGTGTGTGTGTGTGTGTGTGTGTGTGTGTGTCAATTAGCAAGAGCAAACTAAGTCGAATCACAATATTTTAATCCATCAGATAATCATCGGAACAAGAAGTCTAGAATTACTGACCTACGTAGATCATATGCCTAGATAACCAAGGACTTGTCTGGCTTGAATGAGCTTGTTCCAGGGAGCTATCTTGAACAGAAGCTGTATATTGATAGAGTGAGAAAGATCAAGAGACCATCAGATCAGAGAGACTACAAGATCAGAAAGTATATGTTCATTTTTAACCGTTTTAACAAACAAATGGCGAACTAATTATAAGACCTATCTATCAAAATCAGAATTGTAAACACTTTCGATATCAATTGATGAGCCGTCCAAGCGATATGATGAACGTAAAAAAGCTAAATTTGGCTGTTAAAAATACTATCAAGCTCTTTGATAAAATGCGAACCTATCGAAGAATGAATTGTAAGAGAAAGCAAGAGAAAGTCTATTTTATCGCCTTGATCAGCAGCTTCTCTCTGGAAGCTCTAAAGACACGCAGATTCAAGTTTTTTTATAGGTTAGTTCGATTATTATAAAGCTGTTTGATAAGAAACGTGGAGCGACTAAGGAAGAGATCACTATAGAGGAATAACATAGATTATCTAAAGAATGGCGAATTTTATTATTCCAATAGTACAAATTAATTTGCATTACAGCAAAAGTTTCTCAATTATTTTAATCAAGAGCATATCTAAGTTGCAACAATTTATTTAAAAATCATTCATGAATAACATTATTAAAAATCTAAATAGTTATGGAAATATTTTTAATGCAAACATAGTCGGAAAAAAATACAGATCCTGGGATTCAATTTCTCTTGAGCTTAAAAATCCTGGAGTTCAATTTCTCTTGAGCTTAAAAATCTAGAGAAAAATTGGGTGAGCAGTTTCATAAACCTGGTACAAAATACTGGACTGGAACTGACAATTTAATTTCAAAAACTGACTGAAAGTCACAAAAAAATTTCTTAAATCTAGATGACGTTAAGAACATTAAGTTCCTTCCTTCCTTCCTTTAATCCTATCTGCTTTATTATTGCTACAACTATTATTACTAATTAAAAATACAGTATAAATAGCTTACAAAAGAACTTCGTAGTCAATTCATTCCTGTGCCCGTATTAACAAATTTATCAAAGTTTATCAAATTAATAATAAAAATTAAAAATAAAATAATAATTTTAAATATTATTAAAGTATTATTAAAGTATTATTAAAAATTAATAAACGTTAATATTATAAATATGATAATTATTTCAGATTTTTTTCCTCGGAAATGAAGTTTATTATCAAAAGCAAAACAGACTGACCGTTATTGCATATGGAAATGCCACGATCCATGGCATAACTAATAAGCGCCATGATGATGCCAAGAAGTGCAAGAAAGATCCAATCTTCCCCTAATCGAGCGCCAGTGTGTTTCCAAGCAAATGCCAGAAGAGCCAGCAGTTTCCGGCACAGTGGACCTCGCCTGGATTTTCGCAGATCCTCGGCTCTTGTCTTGTCATACTTGCGTCTCGCTTTCTCGTGATACTTGAGCTTGCGTGCCTCTTCCTTCGCGTACTCACCCAAGTCCTTCGTGTAGCGACCATACATCTGGAGGCAGCCGGTTTTTCGTGTCATTTCGATTACTAATCGTTCGATTACTAATTCATCAATTCATGTGCAGACGAGAAACGACAGATTCGCTCTAAGATGATAAAATTTCCAAATTTTGCAATTTAAATTTTCTGTTTTGAACAGTGCTTAACCCAAATTCACAGAATTAAACATGAAATTTAATTCGCTATGATATACGACATCGTAAAATATCATTTTCATCGCATGCGACAACGTTTCATATATTATTTATATTGATGCCGGAATTTAATCTAAATTTCCATCACTCTCAAAGCAATGTAATGTGACACAATTTTACAAAAATCCCAAAAATCTATTGTTTATAAAAGTAGCATATTTACGTTATTAAAAAATTTAAATTTCTTTACGAAAGAATGGTAATTACAAACGCAAATATTTTCAGATTAATGATAAATTCTCAAGAGAATTCTTTCAAAACAACGAGATAAAAAAAATTTCAATAACAATTATATTTTAGATAAATTAGTTATATAAAAAATGTGAACAAATATGAACTTAAATATATAAATTCTATGCAATTATAAAAGCATTATTCAACAATTTCATGCAGAATTTATGCTAAAATAATATAAAAAAATTATGTATAATTAAGAATAACAGTTGCATTCGGCATTCAATAAATATTATTCAAATGTAATAATAATTTTCACACTTTGTTTCATGCCGTATAATCTAATCATATTGAATGAGAAATTTAATTCGATTAAAAAGGTGTTTTCACGTATCATTGATCTAATCGGGATATTTATATGATATTCAAAATGATTACAATCTTTTCAAGAAAAAGGAGTGATATATCTTTCGTGATGACTCTGTCTCAAATATCGTGATATCGCCTTATCGATAAAATTTTAAATGCAATTTATGTGTTTTTCACACATACGTATCTATTAATCAGTGATCTGATGAAAGTGCTTGGTTTTGCTTTCAAAGTAAATTTACTTTAAAGTTGTCATCAATTTGTTTAAATTAGACGTTGTAATTTTAAAAATTTTCTACTAATCCTAATCGAGAGAGAGAGAGAGAGAGAGAGAGAGAGAGAGAGAGAGAGAGAGAGAGA